TTCCCTGGGATATCCACCCTCACCAGTATCATCAGAATGCCGCATCACACATAAATCCTGAGGTTCTAGCACACCTTAGACTCTCAAATACAATTTCTACATTCTAGTTCCTGCCTTTTCTCTTAACCTCATTACAATGATCATGAGTTGAAGAGGAAGACCATTAGAAGAACTCTACAGTTGAAACTGTCCTCCTCAGACCAGAATACAGAAACAGCAAATCTGAGTTATAGATAAGATTCCAGTTCTGAAGTTCAAGCCACAGGCTTGGAACTGGGGCATCTGATATCCTGTCACTGTTTCAAACAGGAAGGAAGCAGCTGACAGGAGATCAAGATTTTAAGCTAGAAGGAAATAAAGCAAGAAGGGAAGAGACACGTCTGACAGGCTGACCTGGTACCAAATGCGGTACAGACATCATGCACTCAACCAAACAACTAGTAGTTGAGTTTTATCTGGGTCTGGCACTGAATATTAAAAGTGGTATCCCCATTTTACTCTGAGGAATCAGAGCCACAGATTTATCAAGTAATTTACCCAGTATCTGCAGGATTTGGACTCAGGTCTACACAGAGACGTTCATGTTCTTTCTCTCATTGCAAAGTGTCAAAGGAAGTGAAAGTATAACTGGGAGACAAGAAAGAGCAGGAAATAAAGACGCCATTGCAGAAGGGACACCTGGCCTCCAGTAGCCTAGCTCTTCCAGACAAAAACTACAATTCACAGTATATACATGTTTCATAAATGTTTCTTTTCTCCTTTTAGAAAACTTATTCATAGGGCATCTTAACAGTGTGCAATATGGTTTATTCAAAGCCTACATGCATGGTGTATTGATCAAGTCAAAAATACCATACACATTACCCTGCACAGATCAATTTCCATGGTTGTATCTGTTAGATGCTTTTTTTCCTGAGCCCCTCCGTCCCACTCCCACTACCCACCACCTTCTGTACAGTACCTGGCATTTACAATTGCCTTCCCTGTCGTATCTGCCAGTCTTTCGGTTTCTGCTGTAAGTGCGGGTATTGAGTTTGTTGTGCGTGGAGACATACAAAGTCTATCTTTCATAGTCAGGTTTGCTTTGCTCTAAGACTTTAATGTACTTTTTAGACAATACTTTTTTTTCAGATATTTATTTTATAATTTAAAATAATGTTTACCTTTGGACCTAAGTTACTTAATTCTGGAGTTTGGACATTCTACATGTCAGTGCTTCAATGACTAGAAAAATGGTGCATAACTGTGACTACAGAAAGAGTCACGGGATCCTCTTGGCGTCTAATCACATGCTACTACGCACTGGCTTACATCTTGCCTGAAGAATTGTAGAGATGGCAAGTGTCGCTGTTGCAGGCTCCAGGTGTGTCGGCCATGCTGTTCACACTCCACCTCGGGAAGAAAGCTGAGGCATAGAATGGGGCCCTGGGAGCCCAGGGCAGGGCACTGCGTTTGGGCGCTTCATGGAGGTGAGCTGGGTGGCCCACGTCTCCTCTGGCCCTCACGCCAGAAAACTGGCTGCAATTGTAGATGTTATTGATCAGAACAGGGCTTTGGTTGATGGACCTTGTACTCGGGTGAGGAGACAGGCCGTGCCTGCCAATGCATGCAGCTCGCCGACTTCAACCAGTTCCCACACAGCGCACACCAGGGGTATGTCTGACCAGGATGGCAGGAGGCAGGCGTCAGTACAAGGTGGGCTGCCATGAGAGGGGCCGACAAGATTGAGGCCCGACAAAGGGAAGCCAAGTGGACAGATATAGATCATTTTAAAAGTCATGATGGCAAAGAAAATGAGGAACAGAATAATCAAGAATGAAGTTAAAAAGCTTCAAAAGCCTGCTCTCGGGATAGTTTCTCCCAAGAAAGCATCTGCTGCTAAGGGTGCTGCTACTGCAGCTATAGTACCAGCAAAGAGAACTGCAGGCAAGAAGGCTCCGGCCCAGAACCTTCCTGCGAGAAAGCCACAGGCCAAAAGGCGGCGCATCCTCCAAAAGCCCAGAAGGTCAGAAAGCTGCAGACCACAAAGCACCTGCCCCAGGAGCTCTGGCAAGGAAGCATAAGAGGCTATGGTCAAAATACACATTCTTCTGACATAGAAGGAAAAAAGAACTATTAGGTTGGTAGTCCTTGCACACGTGGAACAGCATGGTTCACCCTTCAGCTGGCCCTGGGAAGGTCAGAGTCCGTTAACTCCAAGCAAACCAGACACAGTGCCCAGTCCTTGCCCCATTGGCAAGATGGTGGAGCCCAAGTACAGAGGACGGAGTACCATCAAGCCCTCCAAGGCCAGCACAAACCCAGGTCGCGTGTGGGGAGCAGGAGGTCAAAACACAAGGGACTGGGCACAAGCCGGTAAAGTGCAGGCCAAGGGAGCATAGGGCAGTTGTGGTGACGTGATTAGGCCCCTGCAGGGTCAGTCAGCAGTGGCTTCTGGCACAGTGGCAAGAATAGAGCCAAATATTAAATGGTTTGGAAGCACACAGGTGATTAAGCAGTGATCATTAAAAAATTTCAAGAGGAAATGGATACAGTTAAGAAGGATCCATACGAAGTTGTCATGAAGCAGAGCAAATTGCCAACATCCCTTTCCATGACTGAATCTGTTTCATAACTCAAAGGTGCTCATTCTCTCTCTCTCTCTCTTAGAGAGAGAGAGAGGTTTTTGCTATATTGTGTGTGCACTCACTGGAGAGACAGAAAGACAGAAAGCAAGAAATCACTCCCAACCACAGGGGGATGGCCACACCACAATCCCTGCTCCTCCATTCTCCCCTCAAGATTTTGGGTATGCACACACAAACACACACGTTTTTTAAGCCACTGGGTTCAGGACTCAAACCACAGTTGACTACTTAGGAGTCTAGTGACATAATCACTATGCCATCTGCTGGTCCCAAAGGTGCACATTCTTGATACTGAAAATTGTAAAACTACTTTTGGCCCTAAGGCACAGAGGAAGCGACTGAACTTATTGGCAAGTGATACACAATCTCATAGAGAATACTGACACGCCCACTGAGAGTTATGGCCGGAGCAAGGGTCACAACTCGGCCACTGGAGACACTGGTATGAAAAATGAACCCCAAGAAGAAATACATAAAAAAGGGACAGCCCAAAAGAATTTGGGGTAAGCTCTACAAAGTGATTAATTCATCAGATGTATTTCAAGTTCTTGATCCTAGAGAATCAGTGGGTACCTGTCCCCCTCACACTGAGGCTTATTTGAAAGAGAAAGAAAACATGGAAAGACTACATTTTCATATTTCACAAATGTGACTGGGGCCAGCAGATGGTGTAATGGTTACGTCACTAGACTCCCACATAGTTGACCATGGTTCGAGTCCTAGATCCAGTGGTTTGAAACTCATGCCAGGAGCATGTGTGTGTGTGTGTGTGAGTGTGTGTGTGTGTGCACGCGCATGTGCACATGCACGTATGCCTAAAATCCTGAGGGGAGAATGGAGAAGAAGAAATTGTGGTGTGGCCATTCCCCCTGGGGGGTGATTTCTGTCTTTCTGTCTTTCTGTGTCTTTCTCTTTGGCAAGCACATATACCCTATAACAAAAATCTCTCTCTTAAAAAACAAAATAAATAAATAAATGTGACCTTGTCCCCACCTGGGCAATGAGACGACGGTGGCCATCCTCTCCCAGGATTATCCAACCCTTGCTTTCCACACAAATCTGACCAACCCCTCTGGCAAAGGAGTGCTTATCCGGCCTCTGTGTCCGTATGGGAAATTGCACACCGGTGAGAAGCAGCTCAACATCAGGCTAATAAGCAATCCAAATGTCACAAGAGCTCTGCGATAAACACATTATGTTTCAAGAAAGTTTGCAACATGGCCCCCATTGCCAGTGAAACAAAGGATGAGCAGCACATTCACATCGGGTCAGACCTTCCTGATTAACTGTCCCGGTGTGGTTTACCCGTCTGAGGACTCAGAGCCAGACATCGTGCTAAAGGCAGTGTTCAAGTGGAAAAACTGAGACTCCCGAAGACCATATCGATGCTGCACTTAAACAAGCAAGGCCAGAGTTATCAGCAACACAGACAAGATCGACTCCTGGGAGGATGCTGAGGACTTCCTGGAGAAGCTGCTTACTGGACTGGGAAGTTATTGCAGGTGGCGAGCCCAACGTGTAGACTGTGGAGAAGATGGTCCCCAATGACTGGGTGAGGCCTGATCTTCTTCTTTATCAAGCCACCCAAAGCAGAGCCACCCGCAATTCCCTAGCTTCCACTCTCCTCATCTCTGGAAGTTGCCATGGAAACAACACAGAACACAGAAGAGGAAATCACAGAAACTGGCGGAAAGGGGCCAGAATCTATCACTGAGAAAGGACGAGAAGAGACCAGTCACTGCAATGCTAACTCAGGGATGCAACAGATTTTTGCATGGATTCAGCAGAACTTTGGCAAAATCAATGTTGTGTCCCAGTTTTCTGGGAATGACCTGGTTCCTGCAGAAGTGTCAGATATCGAAAAGGAGATTGAGGCCTTTTCTGCTAAAGAAAAGAAGCAGAAGCAACCAGAGGATGATCAGGAAGAGTCTGACCCGGAGTTCCAAGAGAAACATGTGCAAAATGGTGCCAACGTTGCGCTTAAAGCCCTGGATGACAAGATTGCTAAATATCAGAAGTTTCTAAACAAGGCCAAACCTAAAAAGTTCTCAGCAGTCAGAATACCCAAGGGCCTAAGTAAAAAGGTTTGTGCAAAATCTGAAGAACAAAGAAAAACACCTGAAGAAGATATAGATGACACAGCACCTACAAGAAGGGAAAGAAGTGGAAGGCCCAGAGAGAAGAGGGACATTCAGGTCACACTTGCAGGACATTTTTATCTAAGGAGAGGAGCCATGCAGCATGAGAGCAACAGCCCCAAAAAGTTGGCATATGCTACTATGAAACCCACAGTGTGAAAACCAGGAAGAGGAAACAAAGACCAGTGACTCAGAGGGCCAAAACCACAAACACAAAAAATTCCAACATAAGCAGTAATGTTTATCAACGTGTTTATTAATATAAAAACGTGTGAATAGAAAAAGCAAACTATTAGGTTATTTAGATCCAATAGCATGTCTCATTTGTACTTGCTGAATTCCAGTCCTAAGTTAGACAGATACTGTTTTATAAATATTGGACATTGGCAATACGCTGTTCGACCTGAATACCAATAATGCATCTATTGTTAATTAACTTTCAGTAAAAATTGTTTATAAATTCAGCAATAAACCAAGGTTGAAAGTTTTCTAGCAAAAAATTAGTATAATTCCTAAGGTAACCATAAGCCATCTGTAAAATGCCTTTATTATTATTAATTTTGGACATATTTGTGGTTGATTCTTTGAAATATTAATTATATATGCTGATATTTTAATGGATGATATTATTTGATGGCTACACTTTTCTTAAAGATAATTCAAGGGTTTAGAGGTGATAATAGAAAATCAGTTGATAATTTGTGAGCCGAGCAACAGCCACTCCAGGGTTATCCTGTTCTTCATATTTTTGTATATGTTAGATATTTTCATAATACTAAATTTATATACCTATAGTAGCATGAAGAACTACTTATACTTCTTATTTTAAATGCTAAAGGGCTCGTCACTCATTTTGGGCACCAGCTTTTTCTCCAAGGAAATATTAAATTTCTTTTTCAGCACATCTTCAACTTCGTCTTCATTCAGAGTCTTAAACTCTACCAGATCTACATTGTCCTTGTAACTGTATCTCCTAGAGGCAAAGATGAAGCCCACTAAACAGTGAACGCCTTCTGTGGTCTGCAGGGAACAAAAGGATGTGCCTGTAAATAGAGAAGTTGGTGACACCTGCAGATATGTGTTCATAGCCTCAAAATCTTCAATTGCTCGAGGTTCAAGAGTAAAGTAGCAGAGTTTTCGATATTTCTTCTTTTCTACCAGATAAGAATTAAGAAATTCCTAATGAGGAATGTACTGCTCTCTTCTGGTTTGGTTCAGGTACCAAATTCCTCTCTCTTCTGTCAGGCAGAAGATGCAAGGCACCTGGAGCTGGTCCTTCCCAGAAATCAACTCCAAGGGCTGCCATATCTGGAAAGAACTTCCAAACCCAGCATCAACAATATAGTTCCTACCACTAACAGTCACCTTCAGGAGAAGGTGAATCATGCCCTTGCTGTATTTGTTGTGTCGATTCAAGTAAATATAGCCTCCCAACATGGTGGTCTCAAAGCCCATTGTGGTCAGAGCCCAGCACAGAAGCTGGTTGAGCTGGAGACACCAACCGCCCCGGTTCCTCCTCACAACTTGATCAAAAATGGCCTGTAAGCCCAACTCCATGGCTTGCCCACAATGCATGTTAAGGTTCTCAAAGGGAACACTTCGGATCTGGTGCTGAAGAATGTCAGTTAATGTTTCCAAGTCTAATTTGTTCCTAGAGTTCTTATAACCGATTCTCTCAAAATACGCATCAAGGTCCATGACTCCCTAGGAAAGAAAAACATGAGAAAAACAAATAGCATTGCTACTACATACGAACTTTCTAGAGTAGGCTAATTATCACTATCATGTATTTTAATGACATAAATACATATAATGGTTCAGAGTCTCTATAATAATACTTATTTCACTTAGTGCTTTATTCTATGAATTTCTATTGCATGCAGATGTTCACTTAATAGTCTAATAAGCTATCATTCTATCTTTGAAGCATCAGAAGCTGAGAATCCAGATTAGATGATGAACCAAGTTATAAAATTGTATATAAAGCAGTTTTTAGTAATGAATGAAAAACAGATTCCAATTGTCATAAATTAAAATTTGCTTTTGAACAGTTTCTGATGTAAACAAGAGACTTACATTATAGAGTACATGGTATCTAACCCACTCAATTTCTTTTTTAGCTGAACTTCATTTAGTCAAGGAATCCTAGCCAAAGATTTATATGCTTTCACCCATTGATTGATTCTTCATTCAATAAACTTTTTATTGAATACCTAGTTTATGTTTTCTATTGGGTCATCAGAAAGGTCATGATGTATTTTTTCTATGCAACCTGACTTTCTGATGACCCATTATTAATTTAGTACTTGCTCACTCTCAAATATATTGCAGGTGCATTGAACAGATAGTGAACTAAATAAAAAAAGTAAAAATTGTAGTACAATCCATTAGATTGTGTAAGTGCCCTCAGGACAACTAAGGCAAAGAAAGAGAAAGTAAATTCACAAGAAGAACATCAATTTCTAATTAAGTGGTTGAAGAAAGCCTCACTTCAAATATAAAGATCCTATACAATGAGTCTTGTAAATATGTGTGTGGGGAAAATTGTTCCAAGTTGCAGTAACAGAAAGTAAAAAGGCCCTAAACTGAAACCTTCCTAGAGTTCTCAAAGAATGCATGAGAATCCAGTGTGATTCAAGCAGAGTGAATAAGAGGGAGATGATGTTATGGTATAGATAATAGTTTGGCCTCCAATAGCTCCTGTTTTGGAAGCTGGTCCCTAATGTAATGGAACTGGGAGGTGGTGATACTGCATGGGTAGTGACTGGATCCCTGAGGCATCAGCTTCACAAATGGATGAATTCTGTCTTTTGAGACACTGAGTGTGTTCTAGCTTTTGTGTGAAGAGGTCAGTTCTCATGAGAATGGGTTATTAGAAAGACAGCAGGTCTCAGGTGTTCTCTCTCTCTCTCTCTCTTTCCATAATCCTGCCATCCTGTTTTCGCCAGCTAAGTTGTGATATAAATTGGTCTGATGCCAGCCCTATGCCTTTAGATTTTTCAGTCATCAGTACTGTGAGTCAAATAAACCTTTATTTCTTCATCAATCACACAGTCTTGGGTATTTCTATAACAATGTGGTAGCATATGAAGACAGAAATTGGCATAGTTGAACAGGATTTTATTGCTATGGGTACATATGGAAATAACTTTAGAAATGGGTAATGGAAGAGTTTTTAAGAGTTTGGAAAAGACTAGGAAAAGCCTAGATTCTTGTGGAGACTTGGAAGAACTATTTGAAAATGAACTGGAAGTCCTTAAAGGCTGGTTAACAATAATGTGACAATAATGGTGACAAGAGATGTGGACATTAAAAGTCATTCTGAGGGGCCAGAAAGTGGTGAGGTGGCTAAGGTGCTAGACTTGGACCTGGTGGCTTGAAAATCATACCAGCACGTGTGTGTGTGTGTGTCCAAAATCCTAAGAGGAGAATAAAGGAGAAGGGATTACAGCATGACCATGCTTGCCGGGGGTGATTTCTCACTTTCCTTTTCTCTCTCTGTCTCTCCCCAGTGAGTGAATATGCCCTATGGCAAAACCCTAAAAAAAGGCATTCTGAGGTGTCAGATGGAAATAAGAAAATTTTGGGGAGCTGGAGGAAAAGACATCCTTGTTATTAAGTTGCAGAGAATATGAATGTTTTGGTTCCATGTCATAAGACATTGTAGAAGGCCTAACTTAAAAATAATGTTCTCTAGCAGAAAAAATTTCTAAACTGTAAATTATTCAGAGTGCTGCTTGATTGATTCCATGTTTTGTAAAATTTCGTAGAAAAGAAAAGCAGTGTGGGAAAATTTAGAATATCTAAAGCCTGACCATGTAAAGAGCAACAAAGAAAAGGCATTTTTGACCTAGGACACTAAGGGTGTAGCCAAGAAATCAGTTGTAAAAGATATTAGTACTGATAGCCAGATACTAGTAACAAAGACAATGGGAAAGCCCCAAGGGCATCACTGGAAGCTTCAGGGCTGTCTCTCCTCCCATCACAGGACTAGAAGCCTAAGAGAGCAGAATGGCTTTCTAGAAAGGGCCCAGGATGGGGTCTGTATTCCATGCAGCCTGGAGCTCCTGGCATTTTGATGCCCTGTTGTTTCAGCCATAACTCCAACAGCCACAAGTGTCACTCAAGTAACTGATTGGGAGGCACAAGCCAGGGCAGTGGCAGCAGCAGTTAATAGCAGCTGCAGCAGCAACAGCATCCAAGTCTACACATGGCCACATGTGGTGGTAATTCTGCAGGCACACAGAATGCAGAGGCTGTGGGAGCTTCTACCTAGATTTCAAAAGCATAGACTTCCTGTAGGGGTAGAGGAAATGTAGAGAGTTTCCATTAGTGTAAAGCCAAGTAGAAATGTGTGGTCAAAGCAGAAAGTACCAGCCAAAGTTGATATGCCTAGTGGAACCTCAGAGATAGGACCAACCTTGAGACCACAGAATTGTAGAACCACCAGCAATGTGCAATGGCCACTTGGGAAAGCTACAGACAAGAGACTCTACATAACAGTAACCACGTGGACCATGACCAGCAATGCCATGGGGCAGGGCTACCCAGGCCATTGGGGGCCCAACCTCCACTCAAGGATGTGGGACATGGATATAAAGGAGACTATTCTCAGGCTTTAAAATCTAATGCTTACTGGGAACCAGCAGTTAGCGTAATGGCTATGTCACTGGACTCCCACGTAGTCGACCACAGTTCGTGTCCCAGAACTGGTGGCTTAAAACTCATGCTGGGCGCGTGTGTGTGCGTGCCCAAGATCCCGAGAGGAGAATGGAGGAGAAGGGATTGCTGCGTGACCATCCCCCCTGGGGGGTATTTCTCGCTTTCTGTCTCTAATGTCTCTCTCTGTCTGTCTGGTGAGCGCACATGCCCTATAGCAAAAATCTCTCCAAAAAAAAAAAAAAGATCTAATGCTTACTCACTTGAGTTTCAGACTTGCTTGGTGCCAGTTACTCCTGTCTTCTTGTGGAAAGGGAAATTCTATCCTGTGTCTGTTCTGCTATTGTATTTTGGTAGTATGTAATTTGTATGGGCTTCATAGGTTTACAGCTGGAAGGAGTTCCTCTTTAGTCTCAAATGAGACTTTGGACTTTTGAGTTGGTGCTAGACTTTCGGGGCTATTGGAAAAGATGATTGTGCTATTGGCTATTTTATCATTGGGAAAGACATGAATCTTGAGGACCAGGGGTAGAATGTTAAGGTTTCACTAATGACTTGTATCCCTTCCATTATTTAGAATTTGGTCCCCAGTGTAATGCAGTTGGAGGTGGTGAGGGCTAGTGACCAGAGACTGGACTATCAACCTCATGAATGGATTCATGGAATCTCATTAGAGACCTAATGAGTTCTATCTCTCATAAGAATACACATTTACACAGTCAACCCCTCTGCATCCTCAAATGTAACCAACTGCAAATTAAAAAGTGTGTGTGTGTGTGTGTGTGTGTGTACGCTTTTAATTTAATCAATATGAAAAATTAAAATACAAGTAAAAACAACAGTACACTGGGACCAGCGAATGGCATAATGGTTACGTCCCTAGACTCCCACATTGTCAACCGCAGTTCAAGTCCTTGACCTGGTGAGTTAAAACTTACACCAGGTGCATGTGCATGTGTGCCCAAAATCCCAAGAAGAAAATGGAGTAGAAGGGATTGTGGCATGGCCATCACCTCTGGGAGGCGGTTTCTCACTTTCTCTCTGTCTCTCTCTGTAGCTCTGGTGAGGGCATGTACTCGAGGGAAAACAAACAAACAAAAAAACCAGCAGAACACTAGTCATTGAAATAGCATTTACATTGTATTAGGTATTAAAAGTAATCCAGAGATAGGGTCCAGCAGGTGCCATGGTGGTTAAGGCAGCTGGACTTCCACATGGCTGACCATAGTTCGAGTCCCAGACCTGGTGGCTTGCTTTCTCACTTTCCTTCTCTCTCTAGTCAAGTTCAAAAAAATAAAATAAAATAATGACAATGAATCATTTTTTTATAAAATAATCCAGAGGTAATTTAAGGTATATGAGAGCATATGCATTGGTTATATGCGAATACTACTCCATTTAATGTACGGGACTTATGTGTTTTCAGACTCTGGTATTCATGGGGGAATCCTAGAACTAATTCCTGATGGACACTGAGGGATGACCGTATAAAGATAACAAGAGAATGTTTTCCCGAAATGAATGTTTTGCACATTCAGTGTGCAAACCAAGAGGGACAAGTATCTGAGAATGCTTGATGCACCATGAGATGCTTAACATGAGAATACATTCTTGTTAAGTTTTTGAAATTCAAAATTAGAACTACTCCAGCAAATGCCAGAGAAATAAAATAATTGCTAAGAAAGAATATGTCAGGCTGGCATGAGAATGTGCCACAGAAATATCCAAAGGTGAAGTAATGGAACTACGTATATAAAATACTGGAGGAAATTGTTACCTGAAATATTATTCTGTTAGCATTTCATTTAACCATAAAGGCAACATAAATATAAAGATATTCCCAACATAAACAACTTGAGAAATACAACAACAAGGTTGTTCTATTGTTCTGTGTCCTGGATAATGGTTTGCTCCCGAACGATTCATGTTCTGGAAGCTTGGTCACCAGTATAATGGCTTTGGTAGGTAATAAGACCTTTAAGTGATGGGGCCTAATGGGTTCGCCTCATCCAATTGCTTAGATGGGACAAATAGAAGAATTGGGAATTCTGTTTCTGCTCTCTCTGCTCATACCTGCTGTCCACACTGCTTCTATCAGCCATATTGTGATATGGTATCAGAGGCTGGCCTATTGCAGGCCCCACACCCATGGAACTATGAGTCAAATAACCTCTGTTCTTTATACCACCCAGCCTTGGTATTTCTGCTTAGCCATGCAATAATGGATGACTATAAGAAAGAGCTATCCTGATAAAGAATTTCCTTTATAGTTCACAAAATGAAAAATTAAGAAATAGAGACTACAAGAAACGACTATTAGTGAGTACTGACTCATTTTAATACAAATGTTACAAGAATTATGGCTAATAGGGACCAGCGGATGGCATAATGATTCCATAGTTGGACTCCCATGTAGTCAACTGTGGTTCGAGTCCCAGACCTGGTGGCTTAAACTCAAACCAGGTATGTGTGCATGTGTGCCCAAAATCCTAAGAGGAAAATGGAGGAGAAGGGTGTGGCCAACCCCCTGGGGGGGTGATTTCTCACTTTCTGTCTCTCTGGTGAGCACACGCACCCTATGGCAAAAAAATCTCTTTCTAAATAAAAGAATTATGAATAAGCCATTTAGGTTATATGGAAATATAAACACTATGTTAAAAATTAAACCAGAATATTAAGAAAGACCAGATGCAAAGAAAATCTGACCCAGTATTATCAACATTGTAATTGTTAAAAGATAAACTTAGGCATATGAAATTTGGAAGGGTTCAATTGATCAGATAGCAATTTATGAATCAGGCAGCAGCCAACTGCAAGTAGTTAGATGTTCCACTTGGGGTGGGAGGACTTTCATAAGATGTTCGCAGAAGCAAGACAAGAAGATACGTGTAGCACTGGTTAAAGTGGTAGGTCCCTAGGTGGAGGTTAGCCGGCAGTTTCTGAGAGACGCTTGTCCAGTTTCATTTTACTCTTTATCCTAGGACCTATGCAGGCATCCACTCTATGTCCTTCCAATTACAACTTTTACCCAGATCGTATTCAAATTACAGTATCGAATATAAATGCAGGAAGCATCTAGGTGTGATGAAATGGAAGGGGTGGGCCATGAGGGAAATTGTAGGGAGCATTCTCTGCTTATAAAGTAATCCAAAAAGGATTTTTAAAAATGTATGATGTGGGGCCAGCAGGTGGCATGGTAGTTAAAGACACTGGGTTCCCACATGGCCGACCATGGTTCAAGTCCCAGACCTGGTGACTTGCTATCTCCCTTTCCCTTTCTCCCTGTCTCTGTCTTGTCAAATTAAAAAAATGATAATAACAAATGGAACTAAATAATTATTTTTAAAAAACAATGTATGGTGGAAAGAATACCATTAGCCTCATGGTGGCACCATGGGGACAACAAGGGAGAGCACAGATTTCTTACTGCACCTAGAGGGGACACACGGCATGGGTGAGGATTAGTGACTGAGGTTTTTAAGCAGAGGACGCTGTCTGTGAGTGAGTGAGACCCCTTCAGAGTTTTCTAACCACCTCTAATGCCCCTGGACGGGCTTCTGGGTTCTTATATTTAGGGGCCAGTAACTTTGGCTCTCTTTGGAGGATCCCTTGAGGGACCCCAGGACTGCTTTCCCCCCCTGCACAGAGAATGGGAAATGCCAGGGGCTCCATTCCTGCCAGGGAAGCCCTGAGCCAGAGGCTTATTGTACGAGACTGAAAGCCCAGCTGCCTTGCCGAGAGTGGACAACCTTTGAGTTATAATTTACGTGCAGGCTGCAGGGGGTTTCTCCTGGCACTTCTTTAGTCACCAGCACGTGGATCTTTGTCTCAACATCTGGTTTTCGGGAACCTGACCAGAGTCACCAAGGTCATTTTGCAGAGCTGTGTGACAGAAAGCTGGATACACAGGACACAGCTTCCAGAGGCCCCGGTGCCAGGCGGCAGACTGGCCACCTTTCTGCAGATGATGCGTGTCTGCTGCTTTCTTGAATGGTCATCATTATTCGGTAGGTGGACCAACTGTTGTGTCCACCCTTAACTGACAGTGGGGATTGGCCCTTAACCCCCATTCCTGGATGTGCCCTGGGAGCAGCTGATCTGCACAACCCACTACTCAGTTTTTAATCTCTAGAATCTCTATTTCTTTCATGTAAAGGAGTAGTTGTTAACTTTTTTTTTCTTTTGCAAAGAAACCCTTATTCTTTCCCCAAAACGTGCTATTACAAGAAACCAACCTGGAAGAATGAACGGCAGATTGGTCCAGAGACAGTTGCTGATGGAGACTGCGGTCACACCTCCAAGCTCCAGGAGAAAGCAGATTACAGATGGAGCCAGACTCTTCTCCCACCACTGTGTGGATTTCTGGTGTTACTGAAAACAAAAATTGCAAGGAGAGCTGTGAGTGGCTCTTCTGTTCCTATGCGTGGATTTTACTTCACTCTCCCAGCCCTTCTCTCGCCTGTTGTCTCTGGGTAGTGAAAGGCATACCCCCCACTCCCTGCATTGACCCTGCAGAACCTCCCCCCAGGCCAGGCCTCAGACTGCCTAGATGGGAAAGCAGCAGCAGGGTTGGACCTTCCTGAAGGCCAAGATTCAACATCCTCAGTGAAAGGGACACCTGCATCCCAGCCAGGGCTTCCAGGATGCACCCACGGGGCCAGGAGGGTGGCAGGGAGCTCAAAAGAGGCCCAGGAAGTGGATGGAAAGGGAAACCGCTGTCCAGCTGCAGAAGGGGAAGACACAGGATAGCAAGTGTCTTGGCAGCAGGCAGCCAGGGAGCTAGCAGTGACAAAGTGCCCTTTGAGGAAGTGAGTGGAGTGAGCTGTTTTGTGTTTGAGTCACGCAAAGGATGGGCCTGGAGAAGAGCATTTGATCAAAAAAGAGCAAACAGCCCTGCCGTGGTGGTGGGCACCAAGCCAGAGTGTGGGGTGAGGCTAGAACAGGAGCCTTCCAGCCCAGAGGCTCCCGTGCCCTGTGGCTTCTGCAAAGCAGTGTTCAGGGGCCTGACTGACAGAGACAGAGCTGCTCAGGGTCATTGACAGCTCCCAGAGACCCTCTCTAGGGAGCCTTCTTCCAACATGGCCAGCGTGCCCAGGACCCCCCTAAACATAACAGACACCACAATCCAACCTGGCTGGACACTGGGAAGCAGTAGGGGGCTCCTGACCAGCTCAGGCAGGAAGTGTGGGGACTGCTAAGAACTGGCTGCCTGCAGGAGCAGCCAGTTGGGGGCGAAACAGGGTGGACTTCACTGGCTCAAGTATCCAGAGGGACACCAGCTGGCGAAGGTCGCTTACACACAGCAGCTGTGTTTCATTCACAGCCTGTAAGTCAGCACTGTCACAGCTCCATTGGAGAAACTGAGTCGTAGACACTCCAGGTGACTGGCCCGAATCCCTGGAGCTAGAACGGGGTGGCTGTGACTCAAACCTGACAGTGCATTGAGGGTCTCCAGGTTCAGCACTGCACTGTGTGGCAGTAGAAGCCCTCGTCTCACACACACGCCGGGCACATTTTCTGAACCACCCTAGGCTTGAAATCCAGGCATGGTGTAGACCCAGCTTCCTTGACTCACCTTGAGGCAGGATTCAACTCCAACTTGAAAGTACACCGTGAGCCCTTAGAGAGCTGAACTTACCGGGTTTCCAGAACAGCAAGCAGGAGCTAGGCTGGGACAGTTCTGCCCCTGTAGGTCTGCCTAGAAATAGCTGAGCTTTGCAAAGGCTCCTCCTCTGTGTATGGTTAGAATCAGCGCAGGGACTTCTGGGAAGTGTAGTTGCAGGGCCTCAGGCTGTCCCTTTGCCCTCTTCCTGGATCTTCTCATGGGCAAAATGTAGAGTCTTATTATCTGGATCCCAGCTGCAGGCTACTGATGGGGCTCTTGTGTGAGCCTCAGCCCGAGGTCAGACTTGCTGTGTGGGCTGTGGAAGGCGAGAGCTTGGATGGGCCCAAAAGAAGCAGAACCAGCAACTGAGAGGAGGCAGGAGAGAAATTTAAATCCCACTCCCAGGTTATGACACCCTTTCTCCACCAGTTCCTGTAAGGCCCTCTGTTGGTTTTCTTCCTTTCATCCCTCATCCTCAGTCCATTCATTTCCCTATCCCAAGGCACGTCTCATGTGTCTGAGCTGTGTCTGTGCCCACAGCACAGTATGACTGACAGGTGTCAGGGATGGCCACGCAGCAATCCCTTCTCCATTCTCCTCTCAGGATTTCAGGCATCCACACACATGCACCTGGCGTGAGTTTTAGGCCTACTGGTCCAGGACTCAAACCTCAGTCAACTATGTGGGAGTCCAGTGGTGTAACCAGTATGCCATCTGTCGGTCCCTGTATTACATTTTTTAAATCTTCTTGGAAGACAGCTGTTGTCTTGTGCTACCCCTGGGGCTTCTCCTGCCGTGGTCCTGGGCTTCGATGCCCTGGTGCATGAAATTGCAACCACTCGGTGACTTTTTCTCGGTCTGTGTTTGGTCAAGAATGCTGGATCGTCTGCAAACTGATTCCTGGAGACCTCATCTTAGAATTCATAAACAGACACATTAACTTAACACTTTCAGTGTTTTTTAAAAACAGAGACATACTAACTTAATGTTTTCAGTGTTTTAGAGGTTAAGGGTACTGGACTCACACGTGGCCGACTCTGGTTTGAGTCCCAGATCTGGTGGCTTGCTTTCTCCCTCTCTCTCTCTTGCTCTGGTCAAGTTAAAATGGATGAATAAATAAATTAATTAAATTAAAAATAATTCTAAAAAACAAAAACAAACAAACAAACAAAAACAACACCACAAACGCCATCTTTTGGGTGTGGGTCTTTGTCCAGGCTGTCATTCTTGCTCCCCGCCCTACTCTTTCCTCCTGCGTGAGGAGACTGCTCACTGACATGGAAGTGTTTCCCAGCCTGCTCGCCTACTTGTAGAACTTTGGTGTGATCAGGTTTGGGCCTCGTTGGTGTCCTCTGCTGGAGTCTGTAGGGTGTCCTTGAGCCCACTGACACCCCAGTAAGCCCTACCGGCTCTGGTGTTCCTGCCCTGGGACACCAGGGTCCTTGACAAAGGTCTCGTTCCCCCTTTCTCCACCTCCCGGCATTGGCCACAGCCTCACACTCTTGTTTTCCATGGCGGTTCTTGCCGGATGTTCTCCAGGGCCTCAGCCACTCTGATAACGATAGATGTGATCTCGGAATTATGAATTCGCTCATCTGGAGTGTAATGTTTAAATTCTGGATGTAACATTTTAATATTATAGGGTGGTCAAGGATTTGGGGGATAAGACCTCGAACCCACAGGCAACAGAAGCAAAACCAGACAAACGGGACTTCGTCAGACTCCCTTGGTTCTGAGGCTCTCAGCGTCGCGCTGAGCCATGCCACCCGCTTGCCAGCATCTCCAGCTTGCAGCGGGCGGGTCATGGGACTTCTGAGCCGCCAGCGTCACGCGAACCATTTCCCTTTTGTCTATCTAAATCGCTGTCTGTATCGATATCTGAATCTGCATCTGCCTATGCTGCTGGTTCTGTGTCTCTGGAGAACCGTGACCGATACAGTTGGTGAGCACAAAACCACAGGCCAACTGTGAGAAACAAACGCGTGGGGAGTGAGTGCCCCTGTGTGTGCTGGGAGCAGGAGCTGCACCAGGAGGAAGCACACCCAGACCAGCCAGCCAACTCCTTCCCTCCTGGAGTGTGCCTCCAGCGCCCTCTACAGGCAGAGCTCAGCATGGTGCCCGCTGGATAAGGAGACATGTTGACAGGGCTCAGCTCCAGTCATGCGGAGCACGGGAAAGTAGGGTGCATTTGGAGCTGAAAGACAGTACATCAGAAACACACGCAGCGTCTAATCATTCTTCTTCCGAGAACCGTATCTCAATCTTCCGCATTTTCTTTTTCAGTCCCTATACTCTGGTCAAAGCATCACATTTCCCTAATGATGGCTACCATGTGGGACTACCATGTGACCCAACCAGATATCATCCATCTGTCTATCCATCTGTTTATCTGTCTATTATCTATCTACCTAACTGGCTATCTATCCATCTTTTTACTTGTCTGTCTGCATGCCCATCCATCTTTCTTATACTAAAACCAGAGAGATACTTGGTATTTTAGCTGGCTGAATGAGGAGGGTCTGGGTATGTTGCTCTCAAGCCCTCCTGCAGAGCCTCTTGGAGATGCAGCGCCTTTAACTGGATCCGCCTGACCTCGGTTATGCCCTGAAGTCACCCCTTCGTGGACTTTTTGGCTCCCTGCCAAAAGATTTCCACCTTTTCACCCTTTAGTCTTGTTGAATTTGGTTACCATGTCTTCTGTTACTGGCAACAGAAACAGTCCTGATTGATGGACTTCTTCAACGTTTCACTCACAGTAGATCTTCTTTAAACTCTTCCAATGGTTGGTCACAATTTTTCCTGGTAATGACTGGACATGACCTCTTAAGCAGATCATTGTCAGCCCAGTGCAGTGTCACACACAGCTATTAGTAATTTGATAAGATAATACTCTGAAAGTGTTTACTGAGCGACTAATACCCTTCTAAGCACTGGGAATTGGTGCATAAATAAGATAGACACCTTTATTTCTCTTTTCCCTTTTCTTTTTCTTTTTTCTCCCTCCTTTTTCTTTCTCCTTTCTTTCTTCTCTTTCTTTCTTTTTTGAGCTTCTAGTCTAGTGAAGGTTATGGGGAAGCAAGCAGGTGGCCACAGTACAGATACGTGCCATGGTGGGGAAGCCCTGAGTGGCTGTGGCAGCACAGAGGAGGGCCACTTGGCCCCCACGCAGGGTGACGTTGAGAGAGGAGTTGCAAAAACTTCTCAGAGGTTGTGTCTAAACTGAGACTTTAAAGATGAATCTCACTTCTATTTTTTTTTCCATGAGACATGTGCACTTGCTGAAGAGAGAGAGAGAGAGAGTGAGAGGGAATGTGAGAAAACACTGTACAGAGGAGTGGCCACACTGCAATCCCTTTTCCTCCATTCTCCTGGGATTTGAGGCATGCATGCGTGCGTGCACACACACACACGCACCTGGCATGACTTTCAAGTTTCCAGGTTCAGGATTCAAACCGCAGTTGGCCATGTGGAAGTCTAGTGCCTTAACCACTATGCCACCTGCTGGTCCCTAATTTTACTTCTTTAATAAACACCAGTACAGGGAGACCAGCGGATGGTGTAATGGTTGTGTTGCTGGACTCCCATATAGTTGATGGTGGTTTGAGTCCTAGACCCAGAGGCTTAAAACTCAGACTGGCTACATGTGTTTGTGCATGCCCAAAATCCTGAGAAGAGACAGGAGGAGAAGGGATTGCAGTGTGGCCAGCCCCCTGGGGGGTGATTTCTTGCTTTCTGTCTCTCTGTCTCCCTGGTGAGTGCACGTGCCCTGTAGGAGAAATCTCTCTCGAATAATAATAATAATGAAGTAAACACCAGTACGTCTCCTATGTGGCCGTCATGGCTCTATGCACATTACTAGGCTTCCTCAATCTTTAAATCAGCCATATTACCATCTTTTCATAGAAGAAGACATTGAAGCATGAAAAACGTAGGGGACTTACCCTAGGTCATACAGCGAGTAGTTGTCAGGTCATGATTCAAACCAGGGGACTCTGCCCTCCAGAGTTCTTGCTTTATTTGGTCTTTCAGTTTTGCCAGAGGACACGTGTGCTCTCCAGAGAGAGCTAGAGCAAGAGAGGAAAAGTGAGAACACACCCCCTGTGGGGACGGTCATGCTGCAGTCCCCTCCCCTCCATTTCTCCCTCCTTTCAAGATTTTGGACAGGCATGCAGGTATCTAACATGGTTTTCAAGCCATAGGAGCTGGAACTCGAACCACGCACTTGCTCCATGGGATCTAGTTGCCCCAAGCACCCACCACGGCATGGGCTGGCCCAAGTTTTTGCTTGTAATCACTCCCCTGTCCTGCCTTTTGTGAACCTTCTGAAGTTACCTTGTTTTTGTACCTACTCTTATATTCAGTATAATTGCTTCATCTTAAGATCCCTACCTTGACAACACGTGAAAACTCTCTTGTAATATCATATAGGAGTCCCAGGCTCCAGAGAGCAGGAGCTGGACAACTTTGGGGGTCGCTCAGTCTTCCTCATCCTGTGTTCCCTATTGCCACTGCCCATCCTCCCAATGGAGGATGTCTAGAAATACTAGGGACCGGAAATGGCAGCACACCATTCTCTGAAGTCCATGCGTGGGTCCCCAAGGACAGGCCTGTCAGGTGAGAATGGAGACTCTACAAAGGGAGACTAGCTCTAAAGTATGAATCCCATAGATTTACTACAAGGTAACTATCAGAAGTCATGATGCATCTGGTCTGGCAGGTGGTGTGGTGGTTAAAGCACTGGACTCCCACATGGCCAACTACAGTTCAAGTCCTGGACCTGGAAGCTTGCTTTCTCACTTTTTCCTCTATTGCTCTCTCTCCTTCTTTCCCTCTCTGGTCAAATTAAAAAATAGCGGGACCAGTAGTTAGCGTAATGGTTATGTCATTGGACTCCCATGTAGTCAATCGCAGTTCGAGTCTCGGTCCCAGTGGCTTGAAACTCATGCCGGGTGTGTGTGCTTGCGTGCCCAAGATCCCAAGAGGAGAATGGAGGAGAAGGGATTGCAGTGTGACCATCCCTCTGGGGGGTGACTTCTCACTTTCTGTTTCTCTGTCTCTCTCTGTCTATCTGGCAAGTGCACACGCCCTATAGCAAAAACCTCTCCCTCCACCCTCCAAAAAATAAAAATAGTAATAATAAATTAAATTAACTTTTTATAAAAAAAGAAATCATGATGCATCATTTCACAGGTAGGAGAATGAGCTTCAGCGATGAAGAGCCTGAGACGCACGAGGAAAAGTTACCCACATTCAGGTACAGAAACGGCACCTCAACTCTCTGCTCCCAAAGCCTCTTAACGCAGCCGTGGTTTATCCAGCCC